CTGGCTGAACCATCACGATTGACTCTTCACTATACTAAAACATCTTATACTGACAAAATGTACCAGATGGGTGATGCTCCTGAATACAGTCGCGATGAATGGCTTAGTGAAAAGTTTAAACTCGGTTTGGGTTAGTTCACTGACAGGTTCACTTGCATTCACTCGTGTTGCTCATTTAGATTTTCCAAATTTACCCTATCTGATCGATGGCAACTTCAAGCTCACACAGTCGAAGGCCATTTTGTACTATCTCGGTCGCCAAAATAATCTTATGGGAAAGAATCCAAAAGAGGAAGCCCTGATTATGATGCTCTGTGAACAAGCTCATGATCTTCGTATGAAATTCGGCATGTTTTGCTTCGGTCCAAATGGCGATTCGGAAAGTGAAAAGAAAAAGTTTCTTGATACGACACTTACAGAAGAAATAAAACAACTCAATGCTTATCTTGACAAGAACAATAGCAAGTTTGCTGTTGGTGATACCCCCACTGTGGCTGATTTTCAATTATTTGACTATATCGATTGTTGTTGTTCAATCGATGGTGGACGTACATTGCTCGACAAATATACAAATGTGCAAGAGTTACTTCAACGAATTCGTGAATTACCTGAATTGAAAGATTACATTATCAAGTCACACGCTCAATTACCGATACATGCCAAAAGTGAGTTTCATAACTACAATACATATATTTATCACGTGTATATACCGTTTGACTTTATTCTAGTAGCCAAGTTCGGAACAAAAGTAATCGAGCAAAAGTGAATCAACAGCAAATGCTCCCACTGAACGCTTTGATAAGAAAGATCGATTTTTAGAAATATACTAATGATTCCAATAATCATTCGTGAATATGAGCAATGAAGTTATTGCAAGGAAAAGAAGACCTTTATGAGATTTACAAAATGAGCCTTTTCATGTTAGAAAAAAAATGTAGCCTTCACCATATTATCTGAAAAGAGACTCCTTATGTGATAGGACTGTATAAAAAAAGGTGCAGGGCCGTTGTTGAGCACATCGTGTCTCATTGAATAATGTTTCCTTGACAAGGAAAAAGTCCAGTACCCTCACATTTGGTGGACGGCTGCAGAACTACGCAATGTCCCATCAATAAGACTCTGAGAATGAAAAAGAGCTCGATGATAAACTCCGACAAAAAAGACAAGCTACAACAATGACCATACTTCTACAATTTTCTTTGCGCTGTGAGGGTGTGGGTGTGATTCTTTTTTTTCACCCACACATACACCCACGCCGAGCCACCCACACCCACCCACACCCACACCCACCCACATTCACACCCACCTACACCCACACTCACACCTCACCCTCACCACCAGCCACTCACACCCACCCTTAAGTTTTTCAGGAGAATATTTATCTATCGTCTAACTTTACTAGCTGATACCCTCTGTTTAAACTTATTAGTATGGCTCATATAGTAGAGAAATCTTCAAAAGGATTTGTGTCATTGCCATTTTGTTTCAGAGAAACAAGATATTTTTGACAAATTCATTTTACGCATTTTTACTTGTTGTAGAAAGATCAACTGTATCTAATCCAATGTTCTACAAATGGAGGAGAGAAATTCATTGAATCACCTTTTCTATTATTTTTTCATGATATTTTTTCACATCTGTGAACGATTTTCTTTTCTATATCTTATCCATGCGTTTTTCGGACATAATAAACATGCGAAAGAATAATAGAAGGTAGAAGTAATTTTCACAAAGGATGTGCGAAAGTAAACCATTCTCTTCCACAAGGTACATCTTATTTACATTTTTGGATTACAAGTTGCTTGAAAATGAATGCCACTTTTAGAGAAACTCGTTATGCTTGTTTCTCAGGAACAATGCAGCAATGGCAAAAATACTTTTGGAGATTTCCTCTATTCTATGATCCCTACTAATAAGTAAAATATTAGCTCAAATAGAGGCTATCAATTGGTGAAGTTTCCTCATCATTGAAAATGAATATTTCCACTAAACATAGGACTTGTCATTCAGTGCGAAGAAATTTGTTTCTGTATCATAATTTTCTTTTACGCTCAAAACAAAATAGCAATTGTTTTACAAAAGTCCTCTAGAAATCGGTACATATCGGAGAAGCTCAATATTCTTCGATTCTCTCGCCAACTTTGAAGCTTAGATCTAATATCCTAGTGTGATTGTATAGAGAATGGAACAGGGAATTGTTTGAAATCAAGCGTAGTTTTCTGTCTACAAATGTCGATAAGATAAAAAGAAAAATACCTCGTACTACCGGTAATAAGAACTGTTCATGATGCCATAGATCTAGAAATATGAAGAATAGAAATAGAATTTTTTTTCCTGTTATAAAGATTTAAAACAAAAAAGAAAAAAAGAATTTTAATTTCTTTCAGTTTGTTGTTTAGATATAATTTCATCAAGTTGACGTTCTAATTCAGCTAATTCGACTCGAGATTTTGCAAATAAACGTTTCAAATTCTGCTTGTTTAGCTGTACCATCAGTTAACACTTTAGTTCGTATCATTTTTGATACAAGTATTGTTGCTTTACGTTCATGATATTTAGTTGCACGACGTTGTGTAAAACGTCCCATAGATAAAACTGGTAAAGAAATTATAGCTGTTTAGAATACACGATTACGATTTGTTGTTAAAAGAAATGCAGCCATACATGCTTCTTTTAAACAAAGTGTTTCACGTATTGGTCTATTTTTTGATATTTCGATAAACATAGAAAAATTTTGTTTTAGTTTATCCCAGACTGTTGCTGGTGGAGCATTAGGATCAGTTAGTGGTGGCATATCTGAAGTTATAAAATATTTTTACAAAAAGTGTACAGCTTAATGGAAGAAATAAATAAAAGAAATGAGAATTCATTTTAATTCTTATGCCAACTGTGTGTGGGTGTGATGTTGTTTTTCACACCAACACCCACCCACATCCCCAGGCAAGGATAAAAATGGTAAAATGGCATTAAAATGTCTATAAATGGTAATTATTATAATGATGTAAAACGGTCACAAAAAATGCTTTTCATGTGAGGCATTAAAATATGCGTTATGTAACGCATTAAAGTGGTTATTTTTTGACCAGTGATGGATATGTTTGTATTGTTAGTTAATAAGGTTAGATATATTCTGACCAGATTACAGTTCTCATCATTAAACTAAGAAATTTAAAATATAGACTTCTGTTGTCATGCCTAGACCGAGATATTCGAATTTTAGAATATTTATATCATATGAAACGTACTCACAAATCAAAATTTTAGCAGAATTTTTTTCTTTTTTCGTCATAATTGAATAGAGCTTGTCAAGTTATATAAAAAAAAGTATGTTTCAAATTCAAAAAACAAATATTTTACGAATAAGTCCACTATAACATTATTTTCAGATATATGGGGAAATACACCCAGAATTTTGATTTGTAAGCATGTTTCATGCGCTGTAAATATCGTAGAATTCGACTATCTCGGTCTAGACATGCCAACAAAAGCTTATATTTTAAATTTCTTAGTGTAATGATGAGAACTGTAGTTTGACCCGAATATATCTAAACTTATTAACTGACAATACGAACATCTCTATCACAAGCATTCTAAATGTTCAACTCATCTTTTGACTTGTTCTCTTCTTCGTACAAAATTTATATTTTATTCAATGAACTCTCTATAGAACTGTTTGTATATTTTTTCATTTATATCAACTGCTAATATAAGTTATTCGTCAAGAGACAGAAATTAATTAAAATAGACTTGAAACATATTACACTATCTTATTTAAAACAGGGCATCGAATAGATTTCTATTTTTCAGCGAACTGCTATAATCTATGGCTGACATCTCGGTATGTGTTAGATATTATTTGTCAATGTAAAATTTAATTGTGAGATCTAATTTTCAATGCTATTTTGAATAAATTGAAAAAACTTGAACTCGTGTTCATTTAATTCAGAGAGATTATGAAAGAAGAGATAGACTGTACTAGTAAATTACAAAAATAATTTATTCAAAAGAAAATTTTTCAAACGTCTAAATTGTTCAAAAATCAGAGGATCGAGTTTGTTTTATTTGTACTTTTTCGTTTATAGTTTAACATTTTCTGAATTGTATTAAGTAAAGAGACGAGTAACATGTTACTACTAGATCATCTTCGTTTTTTAATGAATCGAATTTGTTCTCTCGTTCCTTTTCGATCAATGTTCTTTGTTTGAAGACAAACACTAAACTAATCAGATAATTTAGATATAGAAAAAACAGAACATTAAAACAGAAAGACAAGAAAAAATAATATTTCAATGATCGTTCGGTTATAAACAGATATAATAATAAATGAATACATAAAGACGATGATAAATAAACAGTTATCTCAAAATAAAAATTTATTCTGACTAAAAGCTAAGAATATTGTACCTCTTTACATTTATAATAAATATAAATTTTTCATAATTTAATTTACGGGTAAATTAAATCGAAAGTAAATGTAAATTGACATCCCTAGTAGAAACGATGAATCACTCACGTAAATATGTCAAACTTTTGCTTTTTCTATTGGTCACCGGTATTTACATTTAATCGATACACTTGAAATTTGTAATACACAAAGATTAGAAAGAGATGCAAAAAATCCTCAAAATATTCTTGCTTATATTGATCAATATGAACATGTTAATGGTCTTCGTATTCTATTTAAACCAAATGATGAACGTTTGTCAATGCTATTTCGCTTCTGTATTAAAAGAATTAATTTGTCATCTACATATCCATGCACGAAAAAAATCTTATGTGTATTTTTATAAATGTTTGATCAAGTTAGTATCTATCTGGAAGTACATTGAATATTTTAAAAAACACTTCTTAACTATTTACGTACTGATGAATCTTTTTTTCTAAGGATAAAACGTTTGTATTTGATGAAGAATCATTTTGTTCCTTAGCGAGCATAAAATAATAATACTGAATTTTCATGAATACAGATTAAAAATTATAAACAAAGTTGAAATGGGTGTGGGGTATGGGTTAAAACAAAACTTGCATCCAACACCTACATGCGACTTAAGGCAAAATAGAAGAACTCAATTCTCAAAACACTGATCTAGCCACTAGATCTACTTCTCAAAAGAGAAGTGTTCCAAGATACAATTCTGAAAAAAGAACTGTTCACTTGGTACAGCTCTTAAAAAAGAACTGTTCACTTGGTACAGCTCTTAAATAAATGCGGAAACTTCGGATTTAAATCCGAGAGTTATGTGTACTTCAAAAAGTGAATGAGACAGATGAGTCGTTCTAGAATATGAGGATATAAAAATTATTCTGGCAAACCCTATCTATAAACACTTGATTTCTATTGGCTACTGCTCAACCAATAGGATTTGGGGATGAATACAGCTCAGATTTGAATAGGGATGTGCAGTTTCAGTATACTGATCACCGATAAAGTCACACTGGCGTTCACTGAATCAGTACATATACTGACACTGACGTTCACTGAATCAGTACATATACTGACACTGGTGTTCACTGAATCAGTACATACACTGACACTGGTGTTCACTGAATTAGTGCATACACTGACACTGACTGCACTTGTTGCACTGACGCACACTGGAACACTGACGTACTGATACTGATTTCCATTGACTAGGATTTATACACAGAAGACGACGACATATTCCGCTTGTAACATGTGGATTAACAAAAAATTTTCATCGAATGGATGCATATCTGCTTAGCAGTTCGGTTTCTTGGTTGAGATTAGCTACATACACTTTTACGTACATACACTTTTTTCACCATTGCATAAAAAAGAGTAAATAGAGCGAAAAATTTATGTAATCGTAACGATACAAATAGTTTTACAAAGTCCACATAAATTTTAAGAAATGCTCATCTTCTTTAAATGAATCTGGTTGAGTCATAGAATCCCGTAGTTATGTGTCAATATTAGGACTATAAGTGTCGTATTTCGTTGAAATTGGCTTTATTATTTAAAATTATAGATTACTTAAATGAATCCTATTTTCTGGAGGAATAGGTATGGCCATTTCGATCAAGTGAATTTACCCAAACATGCTAACCAAAAAATTGTGGTTCACTTCATATGGGAAAAATGGACCAATCAAAATGCGAGCCCTTATTTTACTGTCATCCAACCGTTTTCCCAAAAGAGAACAATAATATTCACAACCCGGAAGTGTCATTCCTAACAAAGAACAAACGTACTCACTACCCGGAAGTCTTATTCCCATAATGGAACAAAGGTACTCACTACCCGGAAATGCTATTCCCAAAACGGAACAAAAGCACGCACTACGCGGAAGTGTCATTCCCAGAACAGAACAAAAGTACTCACTACCCGGAAATGGAATTCCCATAACTGAACAAAAGTACTCACTACCCAAAGGTGTCATTCCCATAACAGAACAGGACTACTCACAATCTGGAAGTGCTTTTGTTCTGTTATGGGAATGACACTCCCGAGTAGCGAATACTTTTGTTCTGTTTCGGGAATAGCCCTTCCGAGTTGTGAGTAGTATTGTTCTGTTATGGGAAAGACACTTCCGGTGCTAGAGTACTATATATTCACAGTAGGTATAATATGGACTAATAGATTCCACCTTGGCTCACGCCAACTTTGGCTCACTTCACACGACCGGTAAAACATGGATTTTGGACTCATGTTTGGTTAACGCCAACTTTGGTTCACTTCACGTGACCAGCCATTTCGCTAATTTCATTGACAGTCATAAATAAAGTCATGAGCAGTGGATACTTTGATAGAGTCAGCGACTTGATACTTCAGTGAGCATCGCTGTTCCGATGAATCCTGACACCGGTGCAGTCAGTGTCAGTGTATGCACTGGTTCAGTGAACACCAATGTCGGTGCAGACAGTGGAACCAGTGCAATCAGTGTCAGTGTATGTACTGATTCAGTGAACACCAGTGTCAGTGTATGTACTGATTCA